AATTAATACTCTAATTTTTCTTCTTTTCGCCTTTGTATCCAATTATTTAGTATGTGGGAACCACAAAATTGATCTTTTAATTAAATTATGTTGGTCCTGGTGGTCTAAATATTTAATTAAGTTAGTTCTGGTGGCTTAAAACTAGGCCACGCGCGCGAGTTTCATTATTCCACCATTTTAATTAGTCAAGTCTGATTAGCCGAAGATGGAAATAAGAAAAAATGTCAATAAATAGATGTAGTCTCTGTCTCTTACCAAAACTGTACGATCTCAACGATGGAAGATAAGAATCTAAAATCAACGAGTAAGATGGAATCGGAATATTACTAAAATTAGGATGAGATGAGGTTTGGGTCCATACTTAACAGTGACAATGAAGGAGCTGACTTTTTCCTTCTTAAAACGTATCACAAGTTTTCTCCTACTCTAATTTCATCTCCAAATTGTTGACAAAACGACGTTTGCGTTGCGACACCTTACCCCGCACAAGGTTTTCCTACGTAAGTTGCATGGACTTTTTTCTTTTTCTTATTCTTCAAATAATTTTTTTACCCCTCAAAATTTAAACGATTTTTCAGGATATTTTCTATCAATATGCTTAATTTTCTTATTCTCCGATGTTGTTATTTTCTATCAATATGCTTAATTTTCTTATTCTCCGATGATGTTATTATTTATTGTTACTGATTCAGCTTTCAAACTTACCATGTGATTTGAATGATTATTGAAGTGTCACATTAATTGATAAATTAAATGTGTTGGGATAATGAGAGCTAGCTGATATATACATACATATTGTAGAGTTTAGAAAGTTACAACTAATTCTTAATCAGTTATATGAACTGTTTCTGTTGTGAATTGTAGTTTTTCCTGTGTTTCTTTAATTTTGGGTCTTTATTTTTCGCTATTTGTATTTCAAAAACTTACAAAAATAGTATAAATACTTTACATATTTTTTTTGCTAAAGAATAAATACTTAACACCGAAATTATTATTATCAACTAGGTCGAACCCGCGGTCCACCGCGGGAGAATATTGGTTCATATGTTGCGTTTAATATTGTGTGTGTTTTTTAGTAGAACGAATCGTGTAGTATACTTATAAATATTCATAATAACGAATTGTAGAGAAAATGTAAAATTGTTTATAAATATACCCATCGTAATAATTATGATTTACAAAATAGAATTTTGTGTTTTAAAATTCTAAAATTAGACGATTCATGGGAATTAGAGCAGTCAAAATAGGTAAAAAACCGCAGGTCCAGCCCACATCATCTCACTATGGGGTAGATTTGGGAAAATATATTAAACCCGCAAATAAGCGGGCCACATGGATTAATTCGCAGTGGGTCATAGGTTTAATCGGTTTTCATCCGCGAGTTGGCGGATCAGCCCGCATATTAGTATTTATTGATAAAATTATAATTTATTCAACATGTGGTAATTTAAACAAACTTTTAATAGTATTTTGATTTATTTATTTATTTTAGTAGTATTTTAAATTTTGGTTACTATAAAATTATTTAAACAAAATCCATGGACAATCCCGCAAATCCGCATACATTCGCTGGACGGATTTGTATTTCATATATGCTACCCGCGGGTCGTGCGGACCGACTAACTACAAGTCAAAATATTTTTTGTCTATCGCAAAACGGACTTAACGGGACGAATCAACTCGCTTTGACAGTTCTAATGGAAATATTATTTAGTCATACAACAAAATAAAGTTTGGACATAGTAATAATAGAATATGTATCTAGATGAGAGATTGAAAGATGAAGTATAATGATTAAAAATTAATTATTATTTTTCATGATTCACAAAATTTAATAAATACTTATCATCTTGTTGAATAATTCTAAAATCATATTCAAGAAATCTTTATAAATTGAAAATTAAACTTCTTTGGTAAGCTATAGGTATGAAAATATCATAATTTCGATTTAATCTAATTAAATTAAAATTAGTTACATGGATTTCATATCTATTTAATTTACACGACCAAAATAAAAATATCTGTTTAATTTACACGACCAAAATAAAAATATCAATTTAATTTATAAAACAGATGGGTTATTTGTGATAAATTTTCTAGAATTCTTTAGAAGCAAGTAAAATATATTTCAATTAATGATAATTAGCTAAAATGAACGAAATTAATGACAAAAACGTTGATTGTTATGGAATTAGTCCCAAAAATACATGAACAAATTTATTATACGTAATTAATGTATAATATTGTTTGGAATATGCTTTTATTATTAGTTACCATAAGTACAATCAGATTTTATTTGATTTCCATAAATATTTGATTTTATTTCGATTTTTCATTATTAATTCGAATTTATATTCCAAAAAAATTTCAAAGATCCGATTTCAGAATTTCGGGTCAATTTTCTGATTTTAACCCGATCTATTTTCATTTGTACTTCTCTTTTAATAGTATAGAGATATAGAAAAATTCAACACAAAATAATTGGTCAGTCGAGAAACAATCGGACGTTATAATTACTGAACTGCTATAAATCTGTAAAGTAAAACGTAAAGATTATTTAAAATGGGGGCGAAGATGAAAACATAGCAACGTTGGAGTGTTTCAAAAATATTTGGTTGGATGAGATCAAATCAAACTAGTCAAATTATCTCCCTCCCAAGCGGGAACAACACGCCATGTCCACACTTAATCCATTTTTCTTTCTCTGAAATATATAGAGATACGTACATCGATAATATTCTTATACTCCCTCTGTTTCACAAAAAGTATCATTTTAGAGTTTTGCACACAGATTAAGAAAACATTAAATTTTTTGTTTTTTCTAAACAAAAACATCATTAACTATATACCTAAACATAATCTGTCCAATAGTAAAACAATCTGTAGAATACTAATAGTCATAAAACATAAAAAATTATTAAATTTTGCATTGAAAACCTAAAACGACACTCTTTGTGAAACAAAAATAATACCTTAAAACGACACTCTTTATGAAACGGAGGTAGTATTATAAAATAAATTAGAAATATCATATACCACATGCTAAGTTGTATAAAGAGAATTATTAGTGTTTGCTAATTGCAATAAATACATACATTTCCTATTGGTCTAGACAAAAAAGAGCTACACATTAAGAAGGAAACTGAAAAACAAAAAGAAAAGCAAAATAAGTTTAGGATATTTGTATGAGTGTATGAGACAACAGTATCAGATAAGATCATAATCCTTGCGACCTTACCTATCCAAAAGTCTCTTCTTTTTTTTTGTTTCTAATCAATGTACAAAACATTTAACCAAAAAAAATATAAATATGGTGAATAAAATATGGATACAACAATTGCTTCAAAGGGGGATGAACTTAAAATATACCAAAAAAAGAAGAAGTGAGGATAGGTTCATGTGAGCCCCCATCCCACTTGACCCTCTTGGTAGGTCCCCATTTACCATGAACATGTAACCCATTGGTTCTTCATTTGTATGTATTGTTTTGTCAAAACTATGACTTAATTTTATTTTTTATCCTCTTCTCTGACTTATTTTTTTTTTAATCTCTGACTCTTCAATGTATGTCAATGTCACAAAACAATTGAACATATTTGGATTGTTGAAAAACATATCGATATTCAGTGACTTCTTTCTCCTCTAGCATCTAGATTGTCATAACTGTCTTGAATTGTACATAAAATTTTATATGAATTGATCATATGCTAATACCTCAATGAATCAATGATCTATTAGAATACAAGTTTTAATTCAAAACTAATGCGCAATGAATGGATTGACTCATATATCTTATATATTAGTCAATATTTTTTTTATTTTTTAATATGAGATATTATTATTTTTAATACGCTCATTCGAGATGATGATGACTCTTCTACCATTGGTCTCGGTATGCTCGCGCATGAATCAGCAGACCCAGTGGCGGAGGTAGTGAAGAGGGAGGGGAGTCAATTGACCCCCATAACATTTATGATTTTTTGTTTTTTAAGGTAAGTTTGACAATAATTATGGATATTTTGGTTTAATTTTTCCATAATGACCCTCATCCAACAATCAATTCCTTAATTTGACCCCTCTGATGTTTATTTTTTATTTAGCATTAATTCATTTTTCATTTTTTGTTTTATGTTTTTTCTAATATATGGCTACAAATCTCTAAAATTGTGGTACATACTAATTTCTTTTAGGCATATTCTATTTTTTTCCTTAGTTTTTTTCAAAAATTTTCTTAGACATATTTTATTTAGTTTAAAATAAATGATTTAATATTAATATATAATTTAATAAAAATAATTAATTATATATGACCCCTATAAACTAAAATTCTAGCTCCGCCACTGAGCAGACCAACTATTGGGTTGGACCTATTGTAGATTGGATTGGACACGTATGGATCAGACTCTGATATTATACTACAATATGAGTTTTCAACTCAAAACCAACTGGCAATGCGCGGTACTAACTCATATCTATATACTAGTCAAAATTTCTTATTTTTTCCAATGTGAGATCTTATTATCCCTTTCCAATGTTAGATATTATTATCTCTAATATAAATCATGAATAACATCTAAATTTAATGTTTAACTATATCTAGTCTACATGGTATATATATCCATCCTTTCCGGAAACTATATACAGTATGAGTTATAAAACCAAGAAAATTTGGTTATCCAGTAAAAGATCTAATTTCGACTATGGTTATATATCAGTTTTAACAACTTATATGATGATTGATTTTAACAACAACAACAAAAAAAAAAAACTTATGATTGATTGATGAGAACTTTGTTTGATGAAAGTACGTGGTAATGTGTTGTAAGAAAATGTTCTTACGTCGTTGAAATATGTTTCCCAAAAATGTACATAACAAACGTACGAAAGATATGTAAAAGCCGTGGTACTACATTTTTTTGTCTGCCCTTCTCGGAAACTTCCGTCAAATTATTTTTGCCGTTCTTGTAAGCGTTGACCCTACCTTTCCATTTTTAAAATGTTTTCTCAATTTGACCCATTTTTTTTTCCATAACACAATCAAATTTAACTTCAAAAACATATAATTAATTAGATACAAATAATAACATGGACATGTACATGCACTTGCCTCGTCCATTCCTTACATCATCATATGTCTTTGTATATATATCAACCAAAGAAATGAAAAAGTAACAACGTCACCAAAATCTCTCTCACCTAATTTGTGTTTCTTCTTTCTGTTAAAAGGTTATAATTTGTGTTTCTTGGTTTGGTGAGAATCTTCAAGAAACAGAAACAAAAAATGGATTCCAGTTGCATAGACGAGATAAGTTCCTCCACTTCAGAATCTTTCTCAGCCACCGCCACCGCCACCGCCACGAAGTTGTCTCCTCCTTCTCATCCGGCTGCGGCGTTACGCCTCCACCGGATGGGAAGTGGCGGAAGTAGCGTCGTGTTGGATCCCGAGAACGGCCTAGAGACGGAGTCACGAAAGCTACCATCGTCAAAATACAAAGGTGTGGTTCCTCAGCCTAACGGAAGATGGGGAGCTCAGATCTACGAGAAGCACCAACGAGTATGGCTCGGGACTTTCAACGAGCAAGAAGAAGCTGCTCGTTCCTACGACATCGCCGCCCGTCGATTCCGTGGCCGCGACGCCGTCGTCAACTTCAAGAACGTTCTGGAAGATGGCGATTTAGCTTTTCTTGAAGCTCACTCTAAGGCCGAGATCGTGGACATGTTGAGAAAACATACTTACGCCGACGAGCTTGAACAGAACAATAAACGGCGGTTGTTTCTCTCCGTCGACGCTAACGGAAAACGTAACGGATCGAGTACTACTCAAAACGACAACGTTTTAAAGACGCGTGAAGTTCTTTTCGAGAAGGCTGTTACACCTAGCGACGTAGGGAAGCTAAACCGTCTCGTGATACCTAAACAACACGCCGAAAAACACTTTCCGTTACCGTCACCGTCACCGGCAGTGACTAAAGGCGTTTTGATCAACTTCGAAGACGTTAACGGCAAAGTGTGGAGGTTCCGTTACTCTTACTGGAACAGTAGTCAAAGTTACGTGTTGACCAAGGGATGGAGTCGATTCGTCAAGGAGAAGAATCTCCAAGCCGGTGATGTTGTTACTTTCGAGAGATCGACCGGACTAGACCGGCAGCTTTATATTGATTGGAAAGCCCGATCCGGTCCGAGGGAAGACCCGGTTCATGTGGTGGTTCGGCTTTTCGGAGTTGATATCTTTAATGCGACAACCGTGAAGCCAAACGACGTCGTAGCTGTTTGCGGTGGAAAGAGATCTCGAGATGTTGATGATATGTTTGCGTTACGGTGTTCCAAGAAGCAGGCGATAATCAATGCTTTGTGACATTTTCTTTTTCCGTTTTTTTTTCTTTTTTCTTGAATTTGTCAAGTTGTGTAGGTTGTGATTCTTGCTAAGTTGTATTTAGGAAAAGAGGACAAGACCAAAAAATAAACTGAAAAAAATGGTTTTGTGGAAAAGTGGTAAGTAGACCTACCTCATAATAAAACGTTACCGGATACAACCTAGATGTGTATCGGTCCCTAAAACTAGATGAATCAAATTTATAACTATCTAAAATTGGATGATAAATCGGAAAAAGAGGAGGAATTCTTGGCAATTTCATCCACAAGGACTTATTTCTCTTCCTTGGCAACCAAAGGATCGGATGCTCATAGATGTCTTAGACGTGTCTTAATGATCTCACATATATAGTAACCCTTGGATTCTCAACATGAATGATGCACTTGTAGAGTCACTCTCTCTAACTTCATCACTTCATAGCCCAAATTGTCAAGGCACTTCATTGCCCAGGCTAAAGCAGTAGTATTGAATCATCGAGAAAATTTGTTCGGGTATCTCTTGTCTAGTAGATTCAATTAGTTTGAATGTTTCCAAATCCCATAACTTTATTAATTGGATTGATAGCATATAAAACTAGAAGATATCGTGAAAGGTATGTTTTGACATTGTAAAAGATTTAATAGCAAGCTTTGAAGAATTTAAGATGGAGCAAAGCGAGATCCTGCTCGTGTACAAAATAGAGTATTTAAGCATTCAACATGGAAATATGTAATATATGGGGAATATGAGAAACTGGAGTCTATTTTTTGGATTTGAAAACTATCTAAAGACACCAAGACTCGATATCAAGTCTTGGCTTTGGTTTTATAATATCGAAACGCGTGAAATACCAAGTCCTAACACTTGAAGCTGGATACGACAAAGTGGACAATTTTGAGATTCTTGAATCCAGTCTTTAATGCAGAGAGTGTGGAAGACATGAGAACAAGGAGAAGTAATGGTTGCTTACATCCCAAGAAAGAAATATTCTTGACATATACAACATGTGCCAAACAAATCCATATCAGGGCCAAGCACTGTGACACTTGTTATGATCAGGATTCAATCTTCTGGAAACAATTGGTAAAACTGAAAGTTAGCGTTTTCACCCATCCAACCAAATGTTCAATATAAAAATCCGGGAACTGAGTCAAACCGACCTCACCTATCGCATCTCGAATAACCCTCATCAGTAAATTGTCTGACTTCTCTAAACGTCTGTCTACACTTTTCAATATCTTGAGATCAATGGTGTCATGAAGTTTTGTATCTTTTGCTTCTTGAAGCATCATCTCAATATCCACTGGTGGTACCATTATTGTTTATTCGACATGAACTAAGAGAGGACTTTTACCAAAACTAAGAGAGGAACCCATCTCTGCTTGGACCAAGCCTCCCTCTGCTTCATTAGGTGATCCATGAGGCCATGGACGATGCTGGCCTTGTCCTCGGCCGTCAACCTCGCCAGAGGTGAGATCTTATCGACTTCAAATGCTAAAACATCCATAATGAATCGTGTCGGGGAACAAGGAAACCCGAACCAATAATCATACTCACTTTGTAATAAGGAACGAATCAGTTTCTTGCCACCCCACTCATGCTCGCTCGCGTAAACAACATCAACCCTGACCTCTACCATGAACCGAGCGTAAGTAAGTGTCTCCTCGTACGCTAAACCCATGTCATCATATATTCATATGACTGAGACTCTGAGAGTAGTGGGACTTCACACGTAAACCCTTACCAGCCGGTTCAGGGTCGTATCTTAGCCATGGCCCATACACATGTGCTTTAAACTTGCGGGTCAAAGCTCTCTGCTCTGCGACTTTCTCACACTTCCGGTGGCTAATCATACCTCAATGTTCACACAACTCTCCAAGATTCATGTACTTGAACTGGACAAACTGACGCCTACGACCTCTACCAATAGTTAACCCGGGAGGGAGCGGTTTTTTCATATTTATCTAGGCTTTAACCCAGCGGGGGATCCATGAATTTTTTTATAGGGGCATTCGATATTTATAAAATATAAATAGATTTTATATAAAAATAAATAAATATATATATATGTATATATATGTATATATAGTTTTTGCTTTATTAATTGTGATATTATATAATTCATAACACTATATAAGAAAAATAGAATGAATATAATATTTATATTAAAAATCATTTAAAGTTTTTTTAAAAAACAAAGAGTAATATTTAAAAGGTAGAGATTTTGAATTAACATATTTAGTTTGATTTAAAATTTTAAAAACAAAGAGTAATATTTAAAAGTTAGAGAATTTGAATTAACATATTTAGTTTGATTTTAAAATTCACTAAACGAATTAAAACGTAAAATGTAAATTTAAGAAATTTTGTACTAAGATTTTTAATTTATTCTTCTATAGAAATCTCAAATATTTAGAAAAAAATCCATAAAATATCATCAATTACTATAATTATGAACCACCAAAGTTAAGGGAAGAGACCAAATTTTTTAAAGATTAATTTTTGAGTTGATACAAAAGGGAAATTGATATTATGGTGAATGCATTGATATTACGTTGTTGTTTATATTTGGACTTAAATTTTGTAACCAACTAGATTTTACTCCACGGTACACCGCGGGTCAATTTTTTTTAACTAAAAATTAAATTTAAGTTGCATTTTTTTAATATTTTTTATTTTGTTATGTTTAAGATTGTATAATTGTATTTTGATTGTTAATTTCAGGATTTCATCCGTGATATATATACCGTTCCACATTAATATCGATCCAAACCCGTCCCACTATATAACCCGTCCCGTAAAATTAAACATAATTTTGTTACTTTTTAAATAATAATTTATTTAATAGACATATAATTAGAGTCAATTTAAAATTTTGACTATATATATATATATTTTAAAATTTTAGTTAATAATAATTAATTCTATATAATGATTCCAAATTAATTGAGTATGACTGACGGTTAAGATTAAAGATTAAAAACCGGATTAAGATTTGAATGACCACGATTAAATGTAGGGATTTTTGAGATCTTTTAAGGAAATCGAATTGAATATGGATGTAATTGTGGCAAGGATTAGTTATGGTTAATATATTAGGTTAAGATTTTTGGAAACGATTTTTTAATGTTAATATCTTTGATTTAATTTTGTAAATCTAAATAATTAATGTCAATGACATTTGATAGTAAATAAGTTGGAACTCCAGGATTTATTTCATAAATGTCTCCAAAAATGTATATATAGATTTAGCTAAATTAAAGGGAAAAGAGATTAATATTCATTTACCTTTTTTAGTTAACCGTCAATTTGTTTAATTGGAAAACATAAATTTAAGGAGTGGGGAGGGGAGGGGGGGTGAGCAAAAGAGATTTTTTATGGGTGGCAAGTAAATTATTTTCTTAAAACTCTTAAAAGATTTCAAAAATTTAGGGGTGGCAACTGCCCCATATAAGCATCAAATTACTAAAACTTACTACAAGTCCTTGTGGGAATGTACTTTAATGATTTACTATTTATAAGAAACCAAATCGATGTACTCTACATAGATCCGCCCCAATTTGTGGGAATGTACTCTACATAGATCCACCCTCCTCGATAACCAAGATGATTGGCCGACTTTTGCAGCTGAATTGGCAACTTTCCGTTCCTTCGTTTGTTTATTCTCTTCTTTTAGTATTAGATTTCTTCCTCGTAGTTGAATTTTCGAACAGATTGTTTGGCCAAAAAAGCCCGGGCTCGAAAGAGTCTCTTTTCCCATGTAAGCTCGTCGGTTTCTGATTGGCTCTCCCCAGCGGAGAGTCTCTTTCCGATATCTTAATAAAATGGTGTTTGATGAAAAAAAAAAAAAGATCCGCCTCTGCTTTAACCCAAAAGCTAATCAATGGTTCGTCACTAAGCTTTTTCCCAATCTTCTTAGCATCTGCTTCTGTGTAGCAAAAATAGGGCAGGCCTATTACCTTGACCCGGAAGCAAGCAACCGAGAAATCAATATCGGCTTTCCATCTACGTTCCAACGTCCATCCTTTACAACTTTTTTCTTGTCTCTCTTTTCCTTGAATTCGAATAAGATAATATTTTCTTTCTCCACAGCGAAAACCTTCAAGCCGCAGGAAAATTTCCATTGCTGCCGCAATGTGCTTCAGTTCTGTCAAAGGACGGTGGAAGGAGACTTGTGAAGATGTTCCACAAGACCTGACCTGTATGCTTCCATCACCATCGCCTAGGGATTTTGTTTGTATGTATGAGATACCATCGATTTGGTTTCTTATAAATAGTAAATAATTAAAGTACATTCCCACAAGGACTTGTAGTAAGTTTTAGTAATTTGATTTGACAATGTTATTGGTTACATCTTTTAACTTCAAAAAGATATATATATATATATATATACATATATATATAACATAATTTCTTCCCTTAATATAGTTTCATGCTTTGAAACGTTTATTACTTTCTTTCATATTCTCATATGTTTGCAACCAAATGTATGTGTAATCTTCTCTCTTTTCGCTCTCTAAAACTATATGACCTCTAGTCATAGTTGTAATATTTATGTTATTTCAATTGCAAACCTTTTATCATAAAAAAAAAGAGTTAAAGTGTTTATTTTTAGTTATACAATTAAGATATTATGATGAACTAACGGATAACTATATCATGAGTTATTACTTCAAAATAATTAATGACTAGTTGTAAGAAAAAAAGTAATTAACTTCATAACAGAAATATGTGAACTGAAGGAAATACAATATTTATCTTTTGAGCTGATTAAAAAGTATTATTTGTTGGTTTAGATTACAAGTGTAAAACTGAAACGTTGAACATTATAAACACAAATACATTTCTACTACCAAAACAAATACACATTAATAAACATAATTTTTAAATTATTAAATAATCATAGAAATTATAGCTAGTTTGAGCTTTGCAAATCCACTTGTCACCACCATGCAAAATTCTCAAATGAGAGAAAATAAAACGCGTAGAAATTAAAAGATGACGCGATCAATGATCAAGATGGGTAATCTTGAGCTTTTAGTGATGCTCTGTTATATAAGTTGATCTATCGTTTCATAATTCATTTCTTTCACTCTCTCTCTCTCTAACAGATTTTGGCTCTCGTTTTCTTTCTCCATCTCTCTCTCTCTGCTTTGCTCACGTAAACATGGAAGATCAAGAACCTTTAGAGATTCATCAGCACGACTTTGCTCCGTCGGATTCTCATCTCGAGAACGACGACGAAGTAATGTGTTTCAGAGAGGTCTCCTACTCCGATCTCAAGACGGCGACCAAGAACTTCAGTTCCGACGAGATTGTATCGGAGAAAGCAGAGGAATCATCCAATATCATCTACAAGGGCGAATCACAGAGCTCCGGCTCCATTGCTGTCAAGTACTTCAAGAACATGGCTTGGCCTTATCGTGATCAGTTTGCGGTACTGTTTCTTGGCTGATAAGTTCATCTATTCTCAGATCTTTATTGTTTTCTCTTGATGGGTTTTGATTCGGTTTCTTCTTCCTTTGTTTCCCAGGAAGAGGCACGAAAAGTGGGGAAGATTAGGCACAAGGGAGTCGTGAAGATGATTGGATGTTGCTGTGATGGAGATGAAAGGTTTCTTGTTGCAGAGTTTTTGCCAAATGATACTCTTGCTAAGCGTTTCTTGCAACGTACGTTTCTCCTTCTGCTTTTGTTTTCACTTGGTCAGAGACGATGATGGTTTAAGAATTAGAAACAGATTTAGAACTAGTAGAAATCATTGAATCAGAAGTTGTTAGCATTCTCTGTCTTGAACTTTGTCGTTGTTGTGATATCACAGAGGAGAATCACACCATGGAATGATCATAGCTGAAGCTTTGGATCATTGTAGTACTGTAGGTTTTACATCTTACAATAATTTAAATGCCTACACGGTTCCCTTTGATGAGGTAAAACTAAACGAACCTTTCGATGCTTATATATGTCTCCTTATAATCCAAGGTTGCTAAACTGATTTCGTGTGTTTTTACTTGATGGATATTGTAGGAGGGTGATGCCTGTCTTTCGTGTTTTGGCTTGATGAAAGAGAGAAAGGATGATCAAAGCACACACAACAGGTGATCAATTCGCGCTTCTCTCTTCGGTTTATTAGTGTCAGAATGTGATGTTATATTCTGACTGCAGGAAGCGTTGTGAACCCTGAAAGTATGACATACAGATTTGGTTATTTTCTCTTAACTTTGCTAACGGGAAAGCAAATTCCTTTAGACCTTGTAAGTGATTCTGTTCAAAGTCATCTCTTGCTTCCAGCTTATTATTTTGCTGTGTTGTGAATACTCTTGAGTCTTGACTTTGTGAATTTTGATTACTCTGCTTCTAGTCTATACTTGAAAAGGATGTCATTGAGCTAATGGATCCAAATTTAGAGGGCGAGCTCTCAATGTCTGCAATACAATGATAGACTCAACATCACTGAGCTTACTGCAAAACTTGAACTCTTGCAAAATAAAGCACAAGTAAGGATGCATTCTCTTTCTTTATTTCTGCCATTTATGTTATAAAACCCAACTTCTTGCATGCATGTTTTCCCTTATGAAATGCTTGAATTTGAAAAATCAGCAGGAGGAGGGAGCATCTTCAAGTCCACAGGAACAACTTGCACCTTTGCAACGTCCCCCCACAAAACCAGCAACCAGAGTTGCAGGATTTCGCCGGTCTGTTCCCAGACGCGAACAGAAGACGACTCCTATTCAGAGCGATGAAGAGATACAAGCGCAAAACAGAGAGAAACTCGAACAAATGCAGATGAGAGAAGTTCAAAAGGCTAAAAACCAGCTTGAAAAGCCTAAAGCTAAGAACAAAATGGGACCTAGCAAACCTGGCCAGTCCACAAAGCCAAGAAGGAATCAGTTTTAGGAGGGTTTTATTGGATACATGAATTCATCATTCTATCTACCAGACTTTAAGAAATTGTATTTTGCATTGAGATAATGATGGTAACTTAACCCGGAAGAGCTCTAACACCTGATCCTTCCTACATTACGGGTAGATTTCATGTGGTTCATATCTCTGCGGCTCTGCCTTTGAATAGGTTTCTGTCAATCTTTGTTTTATGACTTTAAGAAATTGTTTTTTAATTCATTTGGTGGATTTAGTTCATGAACTTCAAATATATTCTAAATATTACAAAAGCTTTTTAGAAATTGAAAAGGAACAAAAAAAAAACTTGAGAGAGTTTTGTGAAACAAAGAAAAGAGAGTTTCTAAGAGTTTATCATGGAAAGATGTATTATATGCTAATAGGAGAAACTGGAGCTTCTTATGTGGATTAGGAAACTAGCTAAAGACATCAAGACTCGATAACACTTGAAGCTGGAGACGGCAGAGTGGACACTTTTGAGATTGTTGAATCCAGTCTTCAATGCAGCAAGTGTGGAAAGCATGAGAACAAGGATAAGTAAGCGTTGCTTCCTCCCCAAGGAAAAAATCTTCTTGACATACACAACATGTACCAAACAAATCCATATCGGGGCCAAGCACTGTGACACACTTGTTATGATCAGGATGCAATTTTAATTTGGAACTTCTTGGTGAAACGTTGTTCAAGTCTTTAACCCATCCCATCAACATCTCTATATAAAAATCCGGGACCTGATGAGTCAAACCAACCTCACCAATGCCATCTCGAATATTCCTCATCAGTAAATCGTCTGACTTCTCTAAACATGGGTCAACCAATTTAATAACCATGGAATTGATGGTTTCATGAAGTTCTTTATCTTTGGCTTCTTGAAGCATAGTCTCCATATCCACTGGTGGTACCAATATTGTTTTCTCGACACGAACTAAGAGAGGAACCCATCTCTTCTTCGACCAAGTCTCCCTCTGCGTCATTAAGTGATCCACGAAGCCACAAACGATGCTGGCCTTGTCCTCTGCTGTCAACCTCGCCAGAGGCGAGATCTTATCGACTTCAAGCGCTAAAACATCTTTGATAACTCGTGTCGGGGAACAAGGAAATCGGAAACAGTAATCATACTCGGTATTTAACAAGGAACGAATCAGTTTCTTGCCGCCCCACTCATGCTCGCTCGCGTAAACAACATCAACCTCGACCCCTACCAAGAATTGAGCGTAAGTAAGTGTCTCCTCGTACTCCAAACCAACCTCATTACACAACTCAAAGTAGTTCGGTTTCACAGGTAAACCCTTACCAGCCGGTTCAGGGTCGTATCTCAGCCATGGCCCATACACATGCGTTTTAAACTCACGGGTCAAAGGTCTCTGCTTTGAGGGTTTTCCACAATTCTGGTGGCTAATCATACAGCAATGTTCACAAAACTCCCCTAGATTCTTGTACTTGAACTGAACGAACTGACGTCTACGACCTCTACCAATGTAAAATCCAGGAGGGAGCGGTTTTTTCAGATTTATATGAGCTTTAACCCAAAAACATCTTGTTGAATAGTCACATTTAAACGAAATCAATGACTCATCACTAAGCTTTTTCCCAATCTTTTCAACATCTGCTTCTATGTACCAAAAATAGGGCAGGCCTAATACCTTGACCCAGAAGCAAGCAACAGAGAAATCAATATCAGCCAAGGAAATGTCTTGTGGGCATTCCTTGAGGACTAATAAGATACCATCAATGTTCCAAGGTCCACCTTTTACAACCTTCTTCTTGTCTCTCTTTGTCCTGAATTCGAATAAGATAATATCGTCTTTCTCAAAAGCGAAAACCTTGAAGCCGCGGGAAAGTTTCCATTGCTGCTGCAGTATGATTTCTGTTCTGTCAAAGGACGGTGGACAAACACTTGTGAAGAACTTTCCAGCCAAAGTCCGTTTTGGATGTGCCACAAGACCTGACCTGTATGCCTCCATCACCATTGTTAGGGATTTTGTTTTTTTGATAATAGAGGATTTTGTATAGAAGGATCTAGAAGATCTTTATGATCACTTTAGCTTAGATTAATTCAGAGGTTCGTGATGAACTTGAACGATGGAAGCATTTTTAGTTTTTAAAAAAATATAATAATAATAAGAAGAAGCCCTTGGTTTAGAAACAGAAACGAAACCGATCGTTAGATCATTGTGGCTCTGATACCATGATAACGTGATGAGAGTTTAGCAATAGGAAGAAGTTATAATTACTCTCCTAAGGATGAATGTACATGAGAGATACATTTATATAGTAAATGAATTAACCTAATTATCTAACTAATAAAATCATACAAGATATATAAATATCTCTAGAATATATTCATAATATCTTCTAGATCCTTCTATATTTTGTTTGTACGTATGAGGTACCATCGAGTTGGTTTTTTCTATATACAGTATAATAAATAATTACGCACATTAATTCCCAAATGGACTTGTAGTAAGTTTTAGTAATTTGATTGGACAATGTAAATTAGTTACATCCATATCTAATTGGAAATCAATGGTTGACTTTTCATACATAACCCAAATTTGTTTAAAATAAATAAGTTCAAACCGGATGTGATTACCGTTGGCATTTTTTTTTAGTTTAATGTAAACCGTTGGCATCTTTTTATCAGCTAAAATATGATTTTTTTAAGAGAATCACGAGTTCTATTCAGTTTTTTTTTTTTTTTTTTGAGAGACTCGAAGCTGATAAGATAGAAGTATTTTTATATATATCATAATTTAGAGAAAAAAAATTAAGAAAAAAAAAGGGAAAAGGAAAGAAATGTATGTTGCATATGTGTACGTTAAATATAATGGGATATAAGGAAGAAGGTGGGTCAGTTGATCCAGGTTAAATGTTTAAATATATTTTAATGTGTAAGAATCATTGAAGTAAAGGTAGCGTAGTTGGCAAATCCCTTGCTCTTGACACCCCTTTATTCGGGTTCGAGTCTTTTCACTGACAATATTAGAGTAATTTTTGTTTTTTACATCTGCAATATAAAATTATTAGCATTAGGCCCGTGCTAATGCACTGACATAGTATTTATTTTATTTTTTACTAAAATTAAAATATATTTTGGCATCAAACATTTATTTTGGTATAATCTAAAATATTTTAATAATTGGAGAATTTAATTTAATACTAATGTAAGATAGTATGTATATTTCATAAAGTTATAACAAAAAAAACCAAAAATAAAAAATAAGCTACTAATCTAATTAATAAAGAGATAGGGGTGAAAATAAATACACGGATAAGACAATTGCCAGGTGGAATCTCACTCTCATCTCCCCTATCTCTTTCTCCTGTTCCCTTCAATTACCCAGAAAAGTGAGGGTTTTATGTTGAGAGAGACCATGGAAAAGTGATAAGCAATTAAACGTGAATCAAGGTCAGATTGCTAACGTGTAGACGTAAACACATATATCACAAACAAATGTATTGAAAGGTAATCTATTAAGCATGACATATTTAATAATCTTTGACAACTATAACAAAATAAAAAACTGAAATTGGAGATGGTAAATTAAGGATTGATTGAAAATTAAGAGAACACGTTGGATTCCTTTTGGATTGGGTTCAGTTCGTAACTGAATCATGTAACAAAATCATTATGTACTGTAAATGCTTTGTAGATCTAAGGAGAAAGTTAAACACTTATCCAAAACGTAGAAAATTGGATAATACCGAATAAAATTCTGCAATTGTTTTCTGATCTGCCAAGGAAAATGAAACTTTTGAATGCTTGCTTGAGCTTGAAGACGTATTTGGTGAAACTGTAAACACATAAACACATATATTGAAACATTGTTTATTAAGCATGATATAAGAAATCTTTGACAGCTATAACAAAAATTAAAAACTGAAATTGGAGATGGTAAATTGATACCTTTGGGGTGAAAAAAGTAACTGATTTCTGAGACTAATCGATGTATGATGATGAGAAGACCATCTTTTTCTTTTATAGATAAGTCATCGAAATTTTGGAGGAGAAGAAGTGGAAGAGGTGGAGATCATGGGGATGAAAAAAAAAAGGGTTTTGAGAAAATAAAAAGCTAAATAAAAACGATTTCCTTTTGTTATAAGTATTAGATATAATCAAAATCCTCCGTGAAAAATGAAAGAGTAGGAAAATTGTATTAAGCTGATGTGTCAATCAGAGAATGCATCAGTTATTGAAAAAGTGACTGTTGATTTAGTATAATTAGATGACCCAGATAAAAATAATTTCTGGGTCCGCCACTGTATATATCACATTCTTTTTTTTTTGCCAAACAAATTGACGTAACGATTTACATTAGTTATATACGTAAACTTTTCTGTCTTCCAATAAAATGGGTGAAAAACTCCAACTACTTTTCACCAAGAGTTTCCAAAAGATTGCATCCTGATAAGTGATAACAAGTCTGTCGCAGTGCTTGGCCCTGATATGGATTTGTTTGGCACATGTTGTATATGTCAAGAATATTTCTTTCTTGGGAAGGAAGCAACCATTACTCTTGTTCTCATGTTTTCCATACTCTCTGCATTGAAGACTGGATTCAACAATCTCCAAATTTTCCACTTTGTCGTATCCAGCTTCGAGTATCAAGTACTTGATATCGAGTCTTGACGTCTTTAGCTTGTTTCCACATCCACATTATTCCCATATAACATCTTTCCATAATAAATGCTTAGAAACTCTATTTTTTACACGAGCAGGATTTTGCTTTGCTTGTCGGTTGATCAAACCTAAAATGCTTTTAAGCTTGCAATCAAACCTTTTACAATGTTTAGGTTTTAAGTTTTTTTTTTTTTTGTATTCATTTTGCTGCATCCATCACCATAAAAATATAAAGTCGAAACCAAACAAAGCAGATCTTTGAAAATCTTTAGAATAAGCTTTTAAACATTCAAGAACCTATAGTTTTAAAAATGTAAAAATAAGATCAAATTCAATTTTTTTTCTTATATAAATAAAGATCAGAAATAGTTTATTTCTCCATTGTTTTGTTTCGTTGTTTATGTTTCATGTGTTGACAAATCGGCAATTTCTTCTAACTTCTCCATCAGCAAAGCTTTCAGAGTTCAAAATGTTCCCCATCTTCACCATCGACTTCGAGAATTGCTCAAAGAAAGCCACTGGATCCTCCGCGTACTTGCTCACGATCCGCCGCGTTTGTATCCCGAACAAGCTCGTGTACATCTCCTGGTCCGAATTCAGTAACCCTTCTCCTCTTAGCAGTGTGTGGTAGATCGAGTTATCAAAGAGATTTGGCGTCACATTGTCCATCGCCGTCACATTGCTATCACCTTCTCCGCTGCTTGCAGGACAAATCTCTCGAAGACTTGCCAAGTACGTCTCCGAAACTGGATTTAGGGCTGACGTCACCTGAAAATCTCCATAGATCCGGGATCGGAAGTTCCGACATTGTGCCTTTCCGATTGTGTGCGCTCCTAGATAGATTATAGGTCAAGTTAGGGTTTTAGTAATTTAGCATAATTTTCGATTTAGTTTGGTTAAGAGGATTGATCTTACCTATAAGAGCGACCATGTCTTCAACAGAGAGACCTTGAGAGTAGAACTTAGCAATGATGCTGATCAAACCCTCTTCTGGAGTTGGAAGGTTTGTTGTGGCAAGCTCGTAACTTGCGGTTTTTGAATCTTTTCTTCCCACAGGAACATCCCAGTAAGGCCCACCCACCTTCAAACCAGGATCAATATTTTGTTTCATTTCATAATTCATATGATACTATATAATATACGGTATTTATTTTGAGAGATATGTTTCGTTTGTGTTTACTTACCAGGATTGTAGCATCTCTAGCACCAATTGTGAGGAGATCAGCGCATGAAACAACTCCAGGGCATTCAGATTCGATTATGTTCTTGATTCTGTCTACAATATTGTATCCTTTCAATGAGTTTATGTTGGGAGAAGCTTTTTTCTCTCCCTGTAGTGTCGCTGTTTCGTCTAGCAACACCGATCCATCGCATCCCTGCAATACCATTTTATAAGTATTTAAACCTCCATACCATAAAGCAACCCCCTTTCAGCTAAATTATGTCTCGATTTCATCCAAAATCTAACACGATATGTCGTTTGAGAAAGTATTTGATAGCAGTAAATGTTTGACATGATATGAATTTTTCTCTGGCAGGATGATTTCGTGTGTTTTAAGAAAGGTGTGGATGAGTACTTACTTGGACAAAGCAATCGTGGAAGTGTAAACGAATAATTATGGCTGCATTTCGAGGATCTTCCTTCACAATGCATTCCATTTCTTTCTTGATGACGTCAAATACGGTTGGGCAAGTAGACTTGTAATAATCTAGGATTAAAGGAAGATCCTTTCCCGGTATATCAAAGGAAAAGCAGGGGATAAAGATGGCGAGAACCATAAAGAACACAAGGAGGAGTCTCATAGTTCTTCTATCGGAAACTTTTTTGATCCAAATTTTGGGAAAATATAAAAATGTTTGTGGGGAGATAGGAGTTAGAGAAAATGGTGGGACTTCAAAGAGATATATAAGTTTTTTGAGAAGAGGGCATTGTAGAGTTTTTAGTTTTCTTGTGTTACAAGGGTCTTGAGAAGTAGGTCAAGTGAGATGCAACTAATTTTGTGAGACGGTTGTTGGGTTTTCCTATGACCATAAAAGAGTACTATTTCCAGTCTTTCCCGATTTATATATATATATTCTATTTTTATATATAATGGCTGATTTATTTTTGTTTATATGTTTGCAAAAGTTGCAATCATTTTCATCAAAATTGATTCTTGAATCAAATCTAGAAGTCTCGTTCTTTTGTAATTCGTTCAACTGTTTTGTTTGTTTGTTTTTTTTTTTTTTTTTTTTGATAACTCAGGTGATCCTAAAGGCTTTGGGGAAACCATGTTAAATTGCTCGAACCCCGGTGGCCAATGCTACTCGAACCCAATGGCGGGAATTACCTCCCTTTACCACTGGACCAAGGCGACTTGGTTCGTTCAACTGTTTTGATCTATATATTCAGGAACTAATAGAGTAATAGATCTACTTTTTTTGTTTAACTAAGAAATATATAGTTCCGTAAATGAATTTGCATATTTTCAATTTTTGTGAGATATATAGGTAGCAAATACGTTCTCAATTTTTTTCTTCTAGCTACTCAAATCGAGCTAGCAGTAATTTACATCATTTCGTTAGAACTAATAACATTGCCAAGTGTTCTTCTTTCTTCCTAATGATGAAATCTTGACTATAAAATAAAGTAGGAGGGAAAATAAGATCCACTCTTTGGCGTCATCTTGAATTATACGATTAATAAAAAAAAAATTCCAATTTTTTTTTAAAAGAACAACGACGTAGTTGTAGTCGTACAAGTACAACGATCTTCGCAAAAACCTGAATTTATTTATTTGTCGTCAACTTGTTATTATTTTAAGAATATTTTCAGTCATAAAAACGGTTAAAAACAAGGTTATATATTGGCAGGGCTAACATTAGTTGGAAAAAAAACTTGTGTTAGGTGGTTTTGGTATAGTGGTAGATGATTGTTATGACATGTGGTTGAATCGGACTTATTCGCCATAATGGAGTTTTTAAGTTTAAACTTTAAAGTAACATCCGAGCTTTTTAATTCATCTAAGACTCAAGAATGTGCAATCACAAAGAAGAAAGTTATATCATTAAAAGAAGACAACTGTTGCAGAAAGGCCCATTAGCTCAGTTGGTTAGAGCGTCGTGCTAATAACGCGAAGGTCGCAGGTTCGAAACCTGCATGGGCCAATCTTTTAATACTTTTTTAGCAAGAAAAAGCTTGAAGTGACTGTGCTCTCGAAGGTGACATATATTTCGAGCGAGTAGGGGTCACATGGACTAGTCATAGGACCCGATAAACGCATAGTTTATAAACTTTTGAGCATCGTATGGAGATATGAAAAAAAACTTGGGAAGAACAAAGTAACTGCGAAAATTTGGCAATCCATTATTTCTCCAAATCTTCGAGTAAGATCCTCAAACGTTTGGAGAGATCCTTTGACAACACTTTGAAAGAAGAAAGATATTTTTTACCTCTAGCGCTGATAAAATCTGACAACTTTCACTTTGTTGATCTTCTTGTTTCCAATCATCCACCGAAAAGCAAGTTATGTTGAAAGTGATGCTCTAAAAAATCCCACCTATTTCATGCCGTGCTTCAGTTTTACACATGTAAACTCATTTAGTCGACACATACTCGACGTTGGTGACCATTCCAAAAAAAAAAATTGTTTATGATTGCTTAGGAAAAACTCACTCAGTCAAAAAGAAGAATGAGGATTGTGCTTTTGATATGTTGGCACGTTCAATGATGCTCGATTAGCAAATCATAGCTGGATTTTAGTCTCACATTCAAAATTTAGATGTAAACTTGAAGTTGTAAGATATTACAAAAATATCATTCATTTACATCAAAAATACAATCTACATGATGTCAATGTGCTTTATATATAATTCGCGACAGCAACTAGTTTAGAAACTCAACTTCAAAGAGCACCAGAAACAAAAACTTCAGCGGCTTTAATGGTCTTGTCATGTTAAGACCTGCGAAATATTAGAAAAAGTTAAAAAAAAACTTAAACCACATTAAATCCGACTGAATCTAATCTATGTACTCTAAAGAGACTCGACCATAATTGTGACTTGACGTTTATGAATTTATTTTTAAGGATAATGTCTTTCCACATGCCTATAAACGATTAAAATGTACAAGATTTACTGTCCTTAACGTACATACATTATCAACTAAATTGAGTTATGATTGCTATGTTATAGAAGGTAGGAAAAACTTGTAAAAAAAATGTAAACAAAAAAAAAAAAAGCAAAACAAAACAGTAACAGCAGAGAATTCTGCAACCAATAAAATGTATTCAATAATTGAACTTTTTGGAAAAACCAAAAAAAAATTGGGTCGAGAAATCTAATCGAAAGGTATGATGTTACAGCAGAGATTTTTTGTCATCTTATCTAAGATGGAAACCAAATCATGAAAAAAGGCTTTAACAAGTATAGTGGTGTGTCTAATTTAAATGAGAGAAGTTTCCAAAGTAATATACACATATAGAAAAATATAGATACACATTTATACATAATAATTTCACATCACATGGGAGACTTATGAAGTAAGAGACAAATGAATACATGGGGAAGTATACCTGACAAAATCAGGCTCATTCAAAGTAAAGCTAAAAGTTTGGTGCTATAAGAAACATATACCCACTTCTTTTTTTCTTTCTCTAAACCTCTCCACAAAAACCGCTAAATCACTTCTTATTAAGCATATGAGTTCTAACAAGTAAAAGAGAAGCCAATCTGTGTTCTCCTTTTTTTTTTCTCAACTAATTCTCACCCACCTAAGTGACCTAAGTGACCTAAGTGTAAGCTAATCCAATTACAAATCAAAACAAAAGATATTATTATAGAGAAACAGTACTCACACGTGTAGGATGAATGGTAGTACAAAGACCCACAAGAGAAAATCCAAGGAGAGTCCCTAAAAGAAAACAAAGCTTGGAGGCATTAACGATGTGCACATTTCTAATAAATCCTAATATATCTCAACTCGTGAGACCCACAATGAGCATTATTATTTGTACTATGAGGATCAAATTTCATAAAGGCCAAAAACTGATTTACTTAAATGCTCAAAAGAGGGGTCAAAGTCTTACTACACCTTCACCGTTTTTAATGTTATATGGTTCCATTTCTCTCCCACACTTGTTTTGCTTAGCTGTTACTTACCAATATGGATTCCAGTCACTGTAAAAAAAGGTGAAGCCATCATAGAAACAATTTAGTTCTTTACTTTTTTGACCACAGTTGATACTAATCTCTGTTTTGTCATATTCCTCAAGAATAGAAGTAAATGCACCAAATATAAATAAATAAAATCCAGTTGCGTTACCTTCAATGCAAAAGAAAAACAACTATTTTATGGGAGAGAGAGGAGAGAGGAACAAAAGGCTGCAACACTTTTTATGACCAAGACAGGACTGGGAGGGAAGAAGAGTATTAAAGGAATGAGGAAGAGGAACAGCTCCTAACCTAATTAAGAAAATTGGTTTCATATTCCTTCTTGTTTGTTGAGTGGGTCTTATCTCATTTCCACCTCAAAAGCTGCTCTTTTATAGTTGTGAGATTGATTATAGCTCAGTGAAACAGAGAGAGACAGAGAGAAGTAAAAACTAGTAAATGAAATGTTGTAGCTACCCTCCTATCATATGGCTAGCATCAATAGAAAGAAAACAAAAAGACAAGTGATAACCAATAAGCATGGCTTACACATCACTTATGCTCAATTCCCTATATATATCTATAAAAGATATTGTTAAAAGAGAATTTATAGGGCTTTAAATTTTATTATAGAAGAGTACTATTTTTATTTGAAGAAGGAGCTAACCTTTCTCTCCTTGATATATATCTGAAATGGCTTGTCTTGTAGTACTTCAATTGAGCGAAAACAATGGTGCTAAGATTGCCATGTGGTGATACTCACTCCTGGTATTCAATTATATGAGTGTGATTCCATAGGCTCCGGCTTTTCCTGATACTGAAACACAAGAAAGGAAAATATATAAATCAGACAAAAGAGGACAAGTATTTATTGATGGTGAAGAACAGAGCCAAAGACAGCAAGAGAGACACAGGCTATATTAGAGGGCAAGAGGTTGGAACAAGCTGAGGTACGTAACGTTAAGAGAGGAAAAAAAGAAGAAGCTAAGTTCACTTTTTGTGTTAGCCATGGAGTCTCCAAGAATCCATGGAGGTGCTGAGGAGAAGAGTAGTTGTGAATCAGGATGGACCATGTACATAGAAGACACTTTCCATGGAAACCACCACTCTGAAGTTGTTTATGAAGATGATGATGATGGTGATGATGGTTTCTGTGTAAAAGAGGTCGATGATGAGGATGATGATGGTGATGGTGATGAAGACGATGATGATAATAGTAACAATGAGAGCGATGACTCAATGACTTCGGATGCATCCTCATGGCCTAGCACTCATCAGCCTCCAAGGAGCACCAAGAATCACGCAGCTGCAAAGAATAGTAATGCCAAACAAGTCAATCATCAGACAGAGAACAGAGTTCGTGACAGATTCAGCGATGAAGGAGAGGAATCTGAGCTCAAGGCTAGAACAAGAACCACTGCAGCTAGTCGTGTCAAAAGTAGAGGCAAGGTGAGCAAAACCAAATAAGACTCATACTGGTTTTAGTTTCTATATCTATTCAATGTTTCTCTTCTGTTCAAGGGAAAAAAAATTTATGCAGTTCATACAGAATTCAGACCATGTAGTTGTTTCTACCTTCATTTGAGATGTATGTGTAATTGCATTGCTTTCTTTAAAACAGGATTATGTTTTTGTTTAATGCAAACTCCGTTCATGTAACTTATCGGTGTGGTTATCCGTTGGAGCTATGCTAATAATATCTACCTTTTACACATATACTCCGTTCTAACACAAACGGAAACATGTATTAAAATCTGCATCTTCAACAAAAGAGCAATCAATAATTGGTAGCCACTGAAAAGCAAACGTGTTTACGAAATACTCATCATTCGAACAAACTTCAGATCCAAACGATTGAATTTGGGATAAAACAAAGAGGCTGATGACAAAACAGGAGTTTCTAAGATTACCTGATTGTTCCATAGGTGTGGCCCCAAAGTAGCTAACACACCATAGCTTTGCCTATTAACAAAGACTCCTGCTGCTTTCAATACCTTCACATGATTCTTTTTTTAAAAGAACAAATTTCAATCATTCAAGATATGTCATTATCAACTCTCACAAAACTTTCATAAATTACTATTTCACAACAGGAATAGAGTTAGAGAGAATCTTAACCTGTTTGTAATATTCTTCTCCACCTTTCAACACAGTAAGAACCATGTAGCTTCTGCCTGTTCACAACAGTAAATAGAAATGTATCTATCAAAGAAAACTCTACACACAAACGAAGGGTTTTGGAAAGTCAAAGCCGGTAATTTGTATCAATAATACGGTTGTGTTCGAAAATGACTGAAAAGTTTTAGCTTATTGACTGAACAGAAAACAACAAATAGTTTTAGCTGGCAGCTTGCTAGGAGAGGACCGCACTCACGTAGATGTGATTCTCAAGTCACTTTCCACATTGTAATATCAAATCCACCATGCACGTGCAGAAGCAATAAACAGGTAGATGATAATGAAATAAGGGTCGTCCAATCTAATTCTATGACCCACAAAATGTGAGAGAATGTGACTCAGTAAATGCACAACACATTGGACCTGGTCTACCAATTTCAAATTCCAGGAAGACCAAAGAAACAAACGAGTAAAGGCGTAGAAACAAACGAGTAAAGGCAAAGAACCAAGCAGTTCTGTCAAACTATTAGCTTGCACATGTTCAATTGATAACCGAAAGTGATATCTAAGGGAAAGATTAACAAGCAACACGAACCTTAAACTTTTTATCAAAAATTTTGTGACTTCGAGAAACTTTGTACAATCAATCAACGAAACTAGAATTCCATAATCATAAGAGAAGAGTTATGAAGCCCAATCAGTATATTAAAGTAAGACTGACATAATTACATTAGATTCAGGTACAAGGTTCAAGACAGAGAACTCTAAATTCCGCTTCCTAAAACTAAATGAAGAACCTAGAGCTAAAATCCTAAAAACTGCAAAAAAATTCACGAGTCTTTCGAATCACCAAACCATCCTGAAAATGGCAGAGATTAACCCCTTGTGTTTCTCCTCATTATTCTGGGCACTAGAAGACCAATGGAGTTGTTCAAACTCTGGAGTTGAAGCTCTTGTTCAAGTTTGAAATCCAGAGCTCAAGCTAGCTGAACCTGAAACCGCAAAAACAGATTGATAACAACACAGTATGCCAAACTAACAATATCCTTAATCAACACACCCTAACTTCCAAAACAAATTCTCATTCCATAGCATTATACCATATTGAACACCGAAAACAATACGAAAGAACTCAAATTGATATACATTTCCTCCTCACTAACACTTTTACTAAGCTTAGCAGTTGGAGGAGCCCTTAAGTTCAAGAACGTGAAGGTAGCTGCAATGGCACCACAATCTAACTAGCTAAAACAAGCTTATTGTAGAAAAAGCACTAAACTAGTAGTAGTAATATATGCTTGTTCAACAGCAGCAACTGTAGTCGAAATAATAAACAAGAGAAAGCTCTAGTGTCTGTCTACCAATGCGCAAACTCCAGAAAATGTCGTTGTACAACCACCGCAAGCGGGGGAAGTGCAATGACTTACTCGATCAACGACTCGCAACCGATGGACCGCAGAGAGAGAGGCTGAATCTGAATTTGGGTATTCATCTCCGTCGGGTTCCCGCCGCGGGACACGGCGAAGATCGATGTAGGGATTGATCCCGGGAAATCGGTGACTGGCCCAAGTAGTGTTATGGGCTTAATGTGGGCTTTCATAAATGATGGGTTATGTCTAGTAATAGGCCCTTCTTTCAGGTATCCACGGGTTTTCGGGTTTTACCGACCCGGATGGGATTGTTTGCTTAGGGAATTAGCGTTTGCTAATAAACCAAATAAATATTTTAATCAGATATATAATCACAATACTATATATATAAAACTCCAATTGTATACAAAAAAAACTCTTTAAAATATATATTTACATTATCATCTACTTCATCAACTACGTAGATAGAAAATATAGATAAATTAAAGTTAACAAGTTTTAAATAGAAAATAACTTATAACATTTTTATTTTTATAAAATTTTCTAATTGTATACAATAAATTTATGGTGTTTTTTGAGTCTTGTAAAGTCAAAAACCATTAATGGTGTCATGAAAATAAAATTACTTGAGAACCAACAATATCCTTAATTTCCTCCGTAAAACGCTACCACGACACCTTTATTTCCAAAACAAATGCTCATTACATTGTCCATTTTTTCCTGCTCCTATTACTGACTAATGACAAAAGCATGACACCAGATTCACAACTATATAAATTTGTGATCTCTCTAAGCCTTCAACTATTACCACCAAAATAAGCAAAAATGACAGAACTCAAAAGGATATGTATTTCATTCTCACTAACACTTTTACTCTTAGCCGTTGAAGGAGCCCTTAACATAAACCAGAAATGGTCTGGTGGAAGTCATTTTGGTTACGAGGGTGGGTTCTGTTTTCCCGGTCTCTGCATTGGAGGATCTGGTGGTAGCAGAGTCCATTATGGCAGGGACCGTTACGGTGGCCGAAATCAATATAGAGGTGGTAGTGGTTTCAGAGAGACCATGTACTGCAAACCGTTGTCTTGTTATGGTGGCTCATGTGATGCACTCCATTTACATTTAGACAAAGGGTTGTATGAATCTCTCGTACGCAACACAAAGACAGCGAAACAACCGTCGACTGTTGATTACAACATCCCAGAGACCTTGAAACACAATGTCATCATCAACAGAAACTATGAGTTCAAGATGGTGAAAGAAGCTGCAATGGCACCACAGTCTAACTAGCTAGCTAAAGAAGTTAGTCTTTATTGTATAGTTTGTATCAATAAACAGCTTATGAATCTCATCGGACTGAGATGTAATCACAAGATTATAGTTATAATGTAGAATAGGCAACTAAACTAGTAATATATATGTTTGTTCAATAGCAACTGTAGTGAGTTTTTTCGTACATATTACTCGAAAATATAAATAAAGAGAAGCTTGAGTCTCCTCTGTTATCGACATTCACACTCATTTCAGTCTTTTATGAAAACATAATTGACAATTAGCAAAAAGAAATAGTGTATTTGACAAAAAAAAAATAGTGTATATACCATGCTTATATAGGCTTGTTAACTACTCCCTCTGGTATACAAAGAGTGTCATTCTACTATTTTTCACACAAATTAAGAAAACTAAACAAATGTCATTTATACCCTTTATTAATACACTAGATATACCTTCTCTATAATTAATAAGGTGAAATAGTAGAGATAAAAAGAGAATTAGTTTTAAAAACTGCATTGAAAACATAAAACGACACTTTTTGTGAAACAAAATTAAAACCTTAAAATGACACTCTTTGTAAAACGGATGGTATAATAATTAATTAATGTTACACATCAGTACATAACGTGTAACTTTATTTGTATTAATTCTAGATTACAATTATTTCACAATACACATTATACAAGTTGAACTAGAAAAGCCTTTGTGAGAGTTTCTCATCTTCTCTCGATGTGCTGAAAAACAAAGTTAACGTTCCCTGAAACAATACATATTGATTCAAAATTTCATTACTTCAATAAATATCGAATTATTTTATAGACAAGTAACGAAGTATTGACCAGGTCAGGTTTTAACGTGACCGGATCCATGTAGAAAGGGTTAAAGCCTTAAAGGGATACTATTAAAAGAAAAATGTCTCTTACGAATTTATCTCCGGCGGCGAGAAGTTAAAGCGGTGGAGATGGGAGTAGCGGCTTTGACATGGTGGAAGAAAGCGACGGAGCAGAGGACAGAGGCAATGAGGGCAAAGAATCCAAATCCGATGATTAGAGAGAAACCGGCGACGATAAGATCCATCGCCGTTTGAATGCTCACTATCCCCATCATCTTCTGATTCTTGAGTTGTTTAGTTTTAGAAATGGTTTGGATTATGAAAAACTTAAGAAGGTCAAACAGAATGGCATTGCAATGGCCTTGGGCATGGTGAAATAGAATTACAGAATGCATTGCCACGTTACGTGATAACTTAAATTTACGACACCTTGCTTGAACTATTCTATTAAAATAGAGAAAAGAAAAGAAAAAAATACAATATTTATGTAGTTATAAACCTATACCGGTTTTAGATACCTGTATATCTCCTGAATTTGGACTAAACCTAATTGAACCAATATAAAATTTGTTCTGTTTGTGACCATTTTTCAAAATCCAAAATTTATAATACATGTCGGTATAGCCGAATCCAAATATATATAGTTGGTATTTCATCACTTATATATTTTGATCTAAACTTTTACCAATTGTCCATAATTTTTTATCCAAATTCGAACTCAAACTTGGACTAAACCTAATTGAACCGAAATAAAATTTGTTTTATTTGAAAATTATTTTCAAAATCCAAAATATTTGAACTCCAAAAAACCAAAACCAAAACCAAACTAAACCAAAAAACTGAATGCCTATGGGCCATGCCTAATTATTATGGTCAATTTATTTTTCTCGTAATATCATGATGATAAGAATATAATATTTTTAGCTTTGAATAAAATTGAATCGGTTTATGGAAGTATGATAAATTATTTGACTATTTTTTTTGAGTTCATAGTGATAAGGATAAATTTTTTGACTTTGAATAAAATTGAATCGGTTTATGGGAATATGATAAATTGTTTGACTATTATTATAGTTGGTTAGATTATATATATAACCCTTAAATAAAGCCTCTCCATCACCATCTCCTCGCCTTCGAAAACTCAAAAATCCTCTCGTTGTCTTTGTTCTTTTCTAAGTGGAAGAGAACATAAATTTATTTTGTTATTCCCTCAAAATCAATTTTTCATTGAAATAAGCTTCTTCGTCTTGTAATGGCTTATCATTAATATCGTCTAAGCACAAGCTGCTTAGCAAGTTTTTCTATAGGAAGATAATTTCTTTAAATTCAGAACACACATTCGAGTATTTCGTCCATCAACAAGGATGGAGACAACTTCATCTGGAATATTCACAAGGTTTGATCTATCCCGTGTTAAAATTGAGAATCTAACATTTTAAAATATATTTTTTTACGTTAAAAATATTATTTTACGATTGTTTTTGGTTTGCAATAGAGAATACATATGTGAGACATTTCATTGAATGATATATATTTGCTAGTAAGCAACCCCCACAAAACTAAAGCGAAGCTGTAAACATCTAGCTGTATGCTTATCCTGTTTTTTCTTTAATTATGAGCGGCACATGATACTGTGTTTGTATGAATACAAAACATAAAATCTTTAATTTGATAATTTGTAAGTAGAAGATTTATCTCGAAAGAATCACATCATGATTAATTCATCTATAGGTCCTAACCTCGCACGTCATGTCATTGACATGTGAGGCTAGTACTTACAGCTGAATGGATCCTGATGTGATTCATTTTAGCTAATTTTTTACTCAAAAGAGATCAAACGAAAGAGTTTATTCGGAATTGGAGAGAAAATACAATAAAATAACAAAATTAAGGTTTACAGTTTCACTTTACATTGCTAGAATTCGGGGAGTTTCTTACTAACTAATTAAATACCATTTAGGGAAGGGCCTCACATCCTTATCTTGCAAACAATGTAAAGTGTAAAGTCACAAATCAACATTTCTAACTTAAATGGGAAAAGATCTTTAAATGTTGGATCTCCTTTTCTAAAAATATGATGAGAAATCAAGCCTTATGCAAACTCCGTTGATGTTACTTAAGTCATTTACTAGCAAGATTCAAGCTTTACCATGAAAGCAGAAAGGAAAGATCAAGATTTAACAAGCCAAACAAATATAGTTGAGCCCGTTTACTTGAAAACAGACAAAACATAGAATTCAAGATCAAACAGGATCTAAAAAAAATAGAGATTAATAGGGCGGAGCCAATCAAGAGGGAGGGGGGTCAGTTGACCCCCATAACATTTTAAAGTTTTGAAATTATAAGGTAAATTATCTAATGATTTTAGATATTTTGGTACAAAATTTCCTAGTTGACCCATATGTCATGCTATAATTTTATGTCTTTGACCCCATTCATATTTAATTTTTCATTCAACATTAATTTTCTTTCTATGTTTGTTTTGTTTTTTCCTAAAAAATGATTACAATTCTCTAATAGTTTTTTTACATATTGATTCTTTTTCTTTGTATCACCGGATATCTTGTTTTTTTTTCGTTCTTTTTCTCAAAATTGTTTTGACATATATTTCTATAAAATATCATAAATCAAGATAAAATATATTATTTAATATTAATATGTAATTAAATAAAAATAATAATATATATGACTCCTATAAACAAAAATCTTGGCTCCGCGATTATGTTCTTGGTTAATGAGAACTCTGTTCATGTAGCTCTTTAGGAATCTAAGGAGCACTTTCTTTTGAAAATATTTGGTTTATAGACACGTAAACATTTCAGACCGGGATCAAGATCATTTCAAAAGAGACAATGATTGATGCATGCATAAATATGGACCTGTTTATTTATTAGAACATGAAATTTTTTATTTTTATTTTTGTAACCAAAAAGTTTTGGACCAAAATTCAAAACAGAGCAATAAGTCCCCTGGACACCCCAATGACAAGATTCGAATCTGATATCTAAAGAACACTTTCTTTAGATTATATTATCGGTAAAATATATTTGATTATATCTTTTATAGATTCATTTACGAAATATTTTGTATACGTTACGTTGGTCCTCTTCTTTAAATAAACAACCAACAAGCTTACGAGACGATTAGACGGTCCAGATCTGATCGGCCTATACGTTAGGAAACCAATTAAGCCCGATCTCACCAATCGTCTCCCTCGACTTGGAATTTTCTTCTCGAAGTTTCATGTTCTCTTCTATAACCTTCTCGTAACCCTCCCTGGCTCGGCTTAGCTCATCGACTAGACATTTGTTCTTGTTGATGAGCTGAACAAGCATGGACCACAGTTCGTCCATGTGGCGCTGTTTCCGCATACGTGATCTCCTAGCTGACTCGCGGTTCGATACCTTCCTTCTCCGCTTCCGCTCATCATCTTCTGCATTCCGGCTAGAGTCCTCGGACGTGGCAGGAAAGTTTAAAAGTGGAACTCGATCAACAAAGGTTTGGAATAAAGACTTTGGATTAGGGTTTTCACATGGAAGGTTATAGACAAAACCAGCCATATACAGAGAAAAACAGTTATGTGTTTTTTGTAACCTAATGTATTAACAAGTATGATGGTATAGATCAATGAAATGCACTCTAATTTGGTTTTTATAGATGAATAAATTGAGGGTAGTGTGACCTTACACTAATAACTAATCCAAGTGGCTGAAGTACACGTAAAATTTTAATTTAATAGAAGGAGAAGAAAAAGAGAAGTTCTAATCGTGAGATGGATGAGTCATGAAGCAATTGAAAGTTGTAAGTAAGTCGATGGCATGAAGGGGACCATTGCGAGAGAAAATCAAAGATTATATTATAAATTATTCAAAGAAAGCGTAAGAGGCAGCAACTCGTAGACGCACCATGTTTCTTTCCGAGCAACCATATCTAAGTTTTTTAAGAGCATACTTTATTTTTATAAAGGGATAACACTTAATCGATAATCCAATGGTTTATGAAATTTGTGGGTAATGATGTAGCATAAACTGACTTTAGTCCTTGTACATAATTTATAGTGTTAAATAGTTGACAATGAAGAGGTTTTACCAAAACTACTACAGTTCTTGAAGCATAATTGCGAGAGTAGCTAAAATATGCTTTTATAAATTTTGCATTAGGTAACATTTTTTTACCAAGTCATATAAAAGTCTAGTAAACTGATAGAGAAAAAATAACACTTATAGCTAGGATGAAATATATTGGTAATTTATTTTTAGACTAATATTATCTTAGCCAATTAGAGTAAATGTCTACTTGGGGTTGGGGTATCGGATTGGTTAAATTTGCAGCTCGCGTGAGCTCTCTAGCTTTATTAGGTCGTAACTATTTAGTAGCAGTTATAATATTATTTTACCCAAAGTAAAGATTAGATTAATGATGTTTTCAGCTAGTAACGAAGTTTCCTAGATCCACTTAAAGCCAATCATCTTAGTGGCGTGATGGCAGCAAATTGCAAATGAGTCTTTTTTTTTTGTCATCCGAAATTAATTAAAGTTTAAAAGAGTCATTTCTGAAGAATGTTGTTTACATACGTGATATGAAGCGGTTCTGTACGAACTTTTCGTGCCAGAAGAACAATTGCAAACGAGTCTATTCATATTATAATGACATTGTTAGTCGGCTAACAATTTTGCTATAGAATATGAATTAATTCAATAACATAAAAATATAACTCTGTTATTCATAATCTATGTAAGAAGAGAAATTACGTTTCTATAAATATTAATTAATCCATTAATCCATTAGCTGCTCGAAGGGGTAACTAATGAAAGTCAATTAAAGTTTCAAGTGACGTATCACATTCTCACAATGAAACAATTATTTTGCTGATGTTATGGACCATTAAGGTTTGTGTTGATTATTGGAAAGCAAATATTATAATTTTAAACTCTAGTGGTAGAGATTTCTTGTTTGTCTTTTACTAGTTTCCAACTACTCTTGTTTTGTCCATTTTCGCTATTCCACAATCTAAAACTTTCGGGTTCATATCAACGTCCAAGAGGATATTACTAGCTATGAGGTTTCGATGTATGGTTTTGAATCATGAATCTTGATGAAGATATAAAACCTCGAGCAATCCCTCCTACAATATTAAATCGTTTATTCCAATCCATCTAGCTTAAGTTAAACCAATGCTCTCAAAAGTGAATTTCTTTGGCTAAGCATTGGTTTAACTTACCAAGCATTAAGTAATGAAGGCATTACTTTTTTTTGGGCACAAACTCATAGAAAAGTATTTTCTCTTCTTCCTCAAAACAAAATCCAAGTAGTTTTATCAGGATTTAATTTCTATTTTGAAGCTTTGTCACAACAACTTGTTGGGTGGTGGCTTGAGAGATAAACCAAAAAGAGTAAACAGTTAGTTATTATTGGACTTTGTTATAGATCAAGTCCATGTGTATGTAATTAGGGTTTTGTTTCCGAAAACGAAGAGAAAAAAACTAAGCTAAGAAGCTCATAATTTGAGAAATGTAAAGTTACGAATAGAGTAACAAAATGAAAAAAGTAAAATTTTATAGGTAGTTACTTGAAATAGACATGAGAAGTAACAACAAATTCAAGTAACTTTCTTCCTCAACACTTTCTAAATAGAATGGTGCCACAAAATAAATAGGTAATTTTATAGTTATGAATGGTGCCACAAAATTTTTTAATGAAACTTTAGGTGTTTGAGCAATTAATGAAACTTTGTCTTTTTCTTTTTTTTCTCTCGTGTGTTTTATCTTATGGATAAGTCTTTGAGCGGTAACAAAACAAATATCATGTTTGCGATTCCAAAAAGATGTATTTCTTGGACGATCTAAATAGACACCAAAATATACAAAAAAAAGAGAGGTAATTTAAATTACCTCTAATGCTTGTCTCTGGTGTCATCACCTATGTCTCTCAACACCTCTACACCCCTCGTCCTTCCACTAAACCTCCTCCATCCACTACCACCCCCTGCCCGCTGGCTATGTCTCTCAACACCTCTACCTCTCCACCCCTCATCCTCCATGTCTCTCAACACCTCTACCTCTCCACCCCTCGTCCTCCACATTCACAACTATCGACAACTCGGCCACGTAACTCCCCTCATCTCTAAACTCTCTAGTTACTCCTCCCCCTCCTCCACCTCTTCCACATCATCTCTCCACGTCACAAGTTACCTTCTCCATCAAATATCTGCTCAATCGGGTACCATCGAACCCCCCTGGTGGCTGACGTTCCTAGTTAGGAAACAAACCACTTTAGCCAGGGATCGATTGGTAACATAACTTCTGATATAATTAAATTTAAACGATTAAAGCAATAACCGTTTCACAAACCAGAAACAAATTCATAATCTATGCGTTGTGGGTTTTGGTTTACACCCGGTTTGTAACGGTCTCTTTGTTCAAACATTAATCATAATCGTAATTTTAATAAATCAAAAACCATAAAATCATTAATCTTTATGCGCCTTATCCAAAAAAAAAAAACTCCTAAAACCCTCTCACCAGCCATTGATTCACAATCTCAAATTCATCACAGCGAAGAAGATGCGATCTTCGTTTCTAGTTTCGAATCCTCCGTTTCTACCTTCTCTAATCCCTCGTCACAGTTCTAGAAACTCCTTCAGACGTAGCAGAGAACGCTTCTCCTTCGCTGAGTCTCTTCGTGTTTCTCTTCATGGAATCGGAAGAAACATTGAGGTTGGGTTATTTCCTTGACTCCCATTTGAACAACATTGAGGAGGAATGTTTTGTGTTTCTTAAAGATGGTTTTGATTTTCTGGGTTTTTTGTTGTATAGGTCGCTCATGGAGTTCAATTTGATGGTCCGATTATGGATAGAGATGCTTTGGAGGTGAATTTAGGTGATGATTTGATGGTTCAAGTGTGTGTGACTCGTACATTGCCTCCAGCTTTGACTCTTGAGCTTGGCCTTGAGAGCCTCAAGGAAGCTGTTAACGAATTGAAGACTAATCCTCCTCAGTCATCTAGTGGCGTCTTGCGATTTCAAGTACGAGTTTTTTCATATCTTGTTACTTCATACATATATGTTAATGCTGATGCTATTAGCTTAATATGTGTTTTTGAATTTGTAGGTGGCTGTGCCTCCAAGTGCAAAAGCTTTGTTTTTGTTTTGCTCTCAGCCGACATCTTCTGATGTGTTTCCTGTGTTTTTCCTCTCCAAGGAAACTTTGGAGCCTTCTTATAAATCACTCTATGTAAAGGAACCTCATGGGGTTTTTGGAATTGGGAATGCACTCTCTTTCGTTCATCCGTCTTCAATCGACTCCAAGGGACATAGCATGATGAAAACGTAAGCTTTTGCTTTTTAGCTTCAATGGGTTGCTGCAGGATACAACACTATGAATGTGCTTTAGTCTCATGTTCACATGTTCTAAAGCGCTGCATTTTACTTGAAGCAGTTAAGCTAACTAACTTCTGCAGATTCCTCTCAGATGAATCAGCTATGGTGACGGCCTATGGTTTTCCAGATATTGAATTCAACAAATACTCTACTGTAAATAGCAAGGGTGGCTCTTCTTACTTTTTCGTTCCTCAGGTGAAGTGGCATTGACTTTATCGTCTAGCTGTTGAATTACATCTTTAACTTGTTTTTGGTATATCTGGTTGATCTGTAACAAGCGTTCTTACATTGTACATGGTTTAAATATCCAAATTTCAACAGATTGAGTTAGATGAGCACGAGGAGGTCTCTATTTTAGCAGTTACATTGGCATGGAATGAATCTCTCTCTTACAGATTTGAGCAAACAATTAGTTCATATGAGAAATCAATTTTTCAGGTATGCTGATGTTCCAACATTTCTTTTTAGTATCTGCAATAAATTCAACTAAAACTAAGAATCTAAAAACATTCCAAGCATTTTGTTATACATGTCCAAGGCACCACGTTCTATCCTTGAGGATACTAAACAGTATATGTAAAACTGTGCCTAGGTTGATTATTAATTTATTGGAATCGGGAACTAAAAGCTTCTTATTCTTCACCTTTGTGAAAAAATTGTTCTTATATCCATTGAGTTCAAAAGAACAAGAGATGACGACATTAGGTTGTAACTCCCTGCTCTCTAAAAGTTGGAATGACGTAAGAACGTATGTGCTATGGTACTCTTTATATACACATGAACTGAGACAGCTCATCACCTGAAAGTAAAAGTTACTTGCGACTTATCTGTGCTTGTGGTTTGGAAGCAACACTAACAGTTTTAAAACATTACTTCAATACAAAAAAAACAATTTCTTTACGTTCAATAGAACTTTATCATCTGGTTTCTTTAGTTTGGAACTGATCAGTTGAAACCTTTTTAGTGCAGATTTGTTTGACTTCTGTCAAAATCTGATGGAAAGTTAATTTTTTTTAATAATTGCAATTGGTTCTTATATAAGATTTCCTGAATGCCTGTTTCTTCTTTGTTCTGTTTTTTTCTTTAATCTCACTTTTGGTTCATTTTCTGGCAGGTTTCTTCTCATTTCTGCCCAAATTTAGAGGATCACTGGTTCAAACATCTAAAAAGCTCTCTAGCTAAGTTTAGTGTAGAAGAGATACATCCAATTGAAATGGTACATACTTTACTTAGGTTCTTTTTCCCCTATTTCTTAAGTAGCTGAACAAGATGCAAGGACAGATCTGATTATTTGTCTTTTTTTTTTTTTGGTCAAAGATTATTTGTCTATTCATCAAACTGTTTCCTGCACAAATTTTACCTTTCTCATCTCCAGAGAGTCACTTAAACATTATCTGATATTAAAAATCTAGCAACCCGTGTTCCATGTGGATCTTATTTTGCTGACTCTCTGATACGTTCTATAAACCTAAAACTCTCATGCAAAATGGAAGAAGTTTCTTAAAAAATTGTTTTACGCGCTTGGCCCACATGGATTCTTCTTACAACTTTTTTGTCTGGACTAAGCATGTAAACTTAGTTTCCTTTTCATGCCACTCATTATTATGTTTATGTTTGCAGGAGCATATGGGCTTTTTCACTTTTTCTGGGAGAGATCAGGCTGACGTCAAGGAACTGGTATCTTCTTTACCCTGGTAATTTTCATCCCTGTATTTCAGAATTTATTTATCGTCCTTGAAGGTCGTCCGTTGGAATTTCTTCTCTTCAGACCATTTGGATTCTATATGGTTTGATTTCTAGCTTTTGTTGCAGAAAAGTATACAATCATCATGTCAGTTCCATTGCAAGCTTTCACCTGACGTTGTTTTCTCAAACAATATGGTACGTAAAGATATAAATATGGTTATATTTTATAAAAAAAACTTAGATGGGTAGGCCTACATTTTACTAAAGACTGTTCATCATACACTCATAGTAATTGCGGCATGTCTATTGTGAGAGATTCTTTACTTTGACTTATTTGGGAAGTGGAAGAATCGACATGTTGTTCAAATTATAAAGCATTTTGATTATTGCACAACGAATGTTACAAAGATGCTCAGTGGTTTGGAAGGGATGTCTTTGTCTAGTGGCTGTAACTTTTGAACCTTGCTTTTCTAGTTATCATCAAAATTTTAGGAACAGAATCTTGGGATGGTCTGAATTCAAGTTTCTTTTCCTTTGGTTTTCTTGTTTTTTTTTTTTTGATGCTATCAGCTGAATCGAGAGACTGAAGTGAGCAACTTCTTGAAAGATGAGGCTAACATCAATGCTGTATGGGCATCAGCTATAATTGAAGAATGCACTCGTCTTGGTTTGACGGTGAGCTGACCTTTCAAATCATCTGATAAAATCTCAAATTTGGATGTCTTTTGTCATAACACACTGCCACAGTACTTTTGTGTAGCTCCTGGATCAAGGTCTTCCCATCTTGCAATTGCTGCTGCCAACCATCCCCTTACAACGTGTCTTGCATGCTTTGATGAACGATCTCTTGCGTTTCACGCTATTGGTTATGCTAAAGGATCCCTCAAACCAGCAGTCATTATAACATCATCAGGAACTGCCGTTTCAAATCTTCTTCCAGCGGTCAGAGTTGTGCTTATTTATGCTTCACCAAATTATCTTGTTAGCTTGTTGCATGCCACATACTTCGCCAAACACTTGTCCCCTTACAGGGTTTGTCTTATGATTTTTGACAAAAAAGGTTGTTGAAGCCAGTGAGGATTTCTTACCACTGCTACTACTTACCGCAGATCGTCCTCCTGAACTTCAGGGAGTTGGCGCAAATCAATCAATAAATCAAGTAAGGTCGAGATAAGACCTTTCTTTGAAACTATACACACTTATTGTATCCCAGTTGGATCTGTTGGCGTTTTTCGTTTCTTTATCCTACAATTTATTTTGTCTTTCATGTGTAACAGATAAACCACTTCGGTTCGTTTGTCAGATTCTTCTTCAATCTTCCTCCTCCGACTGATCTTATTCCAGTCCGAATGGTCCTTACCACTGTAGACTCTGCTCTACATTGGGCAACAGGTTCTGCTTGTGGACCAGTACATCTCAATTGTCCTTTTAGAGACCCACTTGACGGTAGTCCAACAAATTGGTCATCCAACTGCTTAAAAGGATTAGACATGTGGATGTCGAATGCTGAACCATTCACAAAATATTTTCAAGTACAAAGCCATAAAAGCAATGGTGTAACAACTGGCCAAATTACTGAGGTCTTACAAGTAATCAAAGAGGCTAAGAAGGGTCTTCTTCTTATTGGTGCAATCCATACAGAGGATGAAATTTGGGCTTCGCTTCTGTTGGCGAAAGATCTGATGTGGCCTGTAGTTGCAGATGTCTTGTCGGGTGTAAGGCTGCGCAAGCTTTTTAAACCTTTTCTTGAGAAGTTGACGCCTGTTTTTGTTGATCATCTTGATCATGCCTTGCTTTCAGACTCTGTCAGGAATTTGATAGAGTTTGATGTTGTTATCCAGGTAAATATATCATCCTTTTATTTTTGCTTCATGCATCTAAGACTAAGTATTGAAGATGATAGATAGACTGATAGAGTTACACAGGTACTGTTGGATATCTTGTAGTACTTCTCAATTCAAAAATTTATTTGGGTTTGGAATGCCTTGAAGAAGTTTCAATAATGATAAGGAATTGAAACTATGTAAAGCATGACTAGATCTTTCATCTGCATCACATGTTTAGGGTTCTTTTTAACATATGCTGAATTCAACACGAGAATTCATTGAGTGGATATTAATTTTGTTGATGTGCATCTGACAGAGTTTGTAAAATGAAATCATGAATAGGTTGGAAGTCGGATAACAAGTAAAAGAGTTTCTCAGGTGCTAGAGAAATGCTTTCCATTTGCATACATTTTAGTTGATAAGCATCCATGCCGACATGACCCATCACACCTGGTCACTCACAGGGTCCAAAGCAACATTGTTCAGTTTGCTGA